CACGGGATTTTTTTTTAAAGACAAATAGAAATTCAAAGTTAGAGCTGAGATTTAGGCTTGCCGTCTGCCCTGCATTTCCTGGGCCCATTAAGACGCCGCTCCTAAGGTGCAGGAACACAAGGACTAGTTTTGCCTGGCGAGGGGAAGCCGCTAAYGGGCTGCCTTGCAAATGTTTGGGTTTGGATACGGGCGCGTGGCTGTTACTGAGTGCAAAGCAAACGTATTTTTCCCCTCGTGGCAGATTTGCTCTGATAACGCGACGTTGCTTCCGCAAATGCCGGCTCCGGCGCTGCGCTCTTGCTCGCGTTAACGCCGGCGCCGGTATCTGCAACCGGAGCGGAAATGCAGGAAAACTCCCGGGTATAAACACAGTGAAGCCACAGGATGGAGAAGGGATGGATGGGGAGCACCGGGGATGCAGAATAAGGAGGGAAAAGGAATAAGCTGCTTCCATAGGGTGCTTTTGGGGAGGATTTAGCCCCTGCGCGTGGCAGCGGGCTGGGGCCCGGCCGGCCCGCACCRGGGCTCCCCGCGGCTCCTAATTGTCCTGTTTGCTTTGCAGTAAGTGATTCCTGCCTGTCTGCGGGCGGATTGTCTCTCACACCATTAAATGAAGTTCTGCCGTATTGATCCCTGTTTTTCCAATTTGAAGCCTGAGAAGTGATGAAGACGTTTCCTCGTTTCCTCCCGCGCTCTCCCCTCAGTTCATTTAGGTGACCTGTCTTGAGCTCCGCGCTCCGCTCGCCGTAATTGCTTCCTCCGAGCAGTGCGGCGCCCGGAGCGGCCTCCGCGCAGGGAGGCAGCCCAGGGATCACCCGCCAGGATCCACCATGGAGGGTGACACCTCTGGACACACGGCCAGCACCACGGGACACCCTCGCCTGCTTTGTACGTTACAGCCTAATACTGCGCCCCAGTGTCCCCTGCGTTATCTTCCCTGTGGCACAGATAACAGCGCCAGGGTGCTCTTGGCCATGGTGAAAGATTTAAATACCTGAGTGTTTGCCTGCGATTTGGCTGGGGATCTGCTGTTGTTTAGCACTAGAGCGAGGGGGGATTTTTTTTTTTTCAGGTGAGATCGATAGAGCGCGTGTTGAACTTGCTTTTAAGTGGCAAGTTTAATTAAGGAGGGAGCAATGGCTGCTCCATTGCAGCGTTGCTTGCAATTAATTAAAGTATAAGGTCAAAMGTCCTGCGTGTACACGGGGAAGTCTTTCAGTGACTTCAGTAGGCTCCGGGCTGCASATTTTACTGATGGGAACCAGCAGAACACGTGCGAGGTTGGGACTGTGCCCGGGCCCGGGGTGTCCCCCCAGGGCCGGCGCACGCGTCACRTACAAGTGTCACATTAAAGCAGGTGCTTTTGCCTCCAGGTTCACACGGCGATGTGTGAAACACCCTTGTTTTACGGAACTCGCTCTGAATCCTTGTGCAAGCGTGTTTCAGTGGGTTTGCACTCAACGGGAATACACATTTGCTCTTCATTATAGCAAAGGGGTGGGGCAAATGCTCCTAAGGAGGCAGCACCAGCCCATCCTGTGCTTGGGAATGGGTCCCACCTGGGCTGGGTTTGGTTAAGTCCAGCCCTCCGCCCATCCTGGGCTGCTGGAGCCTCTGCAGGATCGGGTGGAGCGGCCAGGCTCCAGGCACGCTTATTAGGAAGGTGATTAATCTCTTTGTTTTGCATGATTGCTGTTATTATGCACACATGCTTGGGTTGGGTAAGAGTTCTAACTGTGCAAGTTGCTGTTGTGTGCAGCAAGCACAAAATAAAGAAATCTAAAGCTTGGCTTTAAGTATGCCCTGATCCCAGGGATGGGAGCGCTAGGCGTGGGGTCTGTGTGGGGCAGGATCTCTCTTGTGCTCTTGGCACCTCCTGTTCTGGTGCCCCTGCCTCTATTCGGCCTTCCAAAGAGTTACTGCAAACCCACCAAATACCTGGTATAGACAAGGGGGAGGAACAGGGATGCAGTACAGAAATAAGCTGGTGTTGGTTTATTRTCTAAAAATAGCCAAAAATCCAATGTACAGTTTGAGAATACGGTATTATGGAGACATTTGGGGGCAAATACTGGAAATGGTGTCCTCTGGATCTGAATGGCACAATATGTTTCAAAGGGTAAGTGCACTAACTGTAATAAACAGCAAAAATATATGAACAAGGAGGGTTTAATAAGTTTCTTTTCTCTTCCCTCCAAAGGTAAAATAACTGGGGAGAAAAAAAAGAAAAAGAAAAAAAGTTAGGAAAGGGGGAAACTTGCAGAGATGGGTCAGCTGTTCATCACCTAAGTGATAGGAGAATATATTTTTTTTAATTTTTATTGTAAACTACCTTATGACAATTGGTGATAAAAGAGCTGAGCCTTTCACAAATCCATTTTAATAAAACACCATATGACCTCATAGATATTCATAGGATTTAGAAATAACATGGATTTTAATGAAGGTACTTGAAAGGTATGGTGCCATATTGCAATTTTATGGAAGATCTTAGATTAATGAAATTAAACGTGAACTGCATTGTTTAGATGATGAACTTAAGGTCATATCTGCAGCATTTGAAAGAGAAACCTTGAGTGGAGGGTGTAGAATCATTGATTTAGACCCTGGTAGACAGCTGAATAGCAAGCATTGAAGCATGAAGGTAAATTCCCATATTTCATTGTTAGAAGGTTAGCTGGTGGCTGCCAGCTTTTCAGTGATAATCACCAACCAATTCCACCCTGTTTCAAAAAAGATTTTGCCTTTGTGTGCTAAGACACTTTTAAAAACCATTACTGTTCAAAGCAGGGGCGCCCTGTTTAAAGAGGAGCTATTGCTGCAGAATACGGGGTGGCAATGAGTTGATGCTGTCCTTGGATAGTGATGCTATTAAGTTCATTAGGATCATCATCCATTTAAAATGCTTATAAGGAGAATTTAGATGGTTTGCTGTAGACCCTAGAGGCACCTTCCACTGCAAGGCATAACTATATGTTGCCAGTAATTAGCTCTCTTGCTTCCTTAAGATATATATATATATTTAACACATAATACAATGGCCCTTTCAGGTTTAAGTACCGTTTTCCTCCGCAGACGGACAGCCCCACACAACAAATGCATGCACATGTGTTTAAACTAATAGACACGAATTTGGACAACAGGAAAATCACAAGGAATGAAATCCTCGGGCCCTACGACTAAGTGCTAATAGAATGATACTGCCAATTACTGCTGGAGAGGAGCGTTGTCACTGCGGAGGGCTCCCGGAGACAGACGGATGAGGGGAGGAGGAAAGGTTCCCATCTGACAGTTTGCCGTTAAAGTGGATTTGTCAAGGATGTTAAAATTAGATCTAACTGGGCCAGATCCTCAGGTGACATAAATCAGCCCGTGCTCTGGCCACACACTCCTCTTTGTTCTTTCTTTATCTCTGTTATTCGCGCTGTAATGCTGCCCAGGAGCTGCAAGGATGCTTTAAGCTCCATTGTCTCCGTGCTGCTCAAGTGCAGGAAGAGAAGGTTTTTCCATGGTGTTTGTCTGTTCTGCACGTGGTCTTTTATTGCTTAAAACATCCACTCATTCCACAAAACCTCCTAAGATGAGGACCTTGCCCAGGCTGGGATGTAAATGGCGATATTAACAGCTGTCAGGCAATCCGTATTGACCTGTTTTTAGCGTGGATGAGAGGAGCTGCTTCCCCCCATGAGCGAGTTACCCGGAAAGCAAAAGCCCGGGTGGGGAAAGGGCCTCCGCTCCTCTGCATTTTTGGTAAGCTGAGCTAAGCTCTGCCCCAATGTGAAAACTGTCTGAAAGCTGCCAGCAAGGCAAGTGGAGAAGAAATAGTGTTAGATAATGGTAGTGAATGTGTTATGATCCCTCCTTTTACTAAAAACTTCCTTGTTCTCTCCCTGGTGTGCATCACAGGCAGCTCGCACGTGATTTATTTGTGTGTGTTTGAGCAGGAGAAGCAGCAGGAATAAGGTCTTAGACACTTAAAAATGAAGCTGGGAGACCTAGAGACATGATGCTTATTAGAATAGGTGGAAACTGTGTCAAAATGCCCTGGGCATCCTGGAAAATCTTGTCCCCAGCGTTCACCTCGCAGCCGGTTCCAAGGGGCATCGTGTATCCCGTCTCCGATGTGCATGGAAGTGTGAGTGGCAAAAACATCAGCTTATGCAGGCTGGGATCAGGACCAAACCCAGCCCTGTGCCCAATGCTGCTTAACGGCCTGAGTAAGCAGGGAATGTAATTTAATTGTACTGAGCGTATTCACCTCTTCCTGGAGAGCTTCCCGCATGAGCTGAGGGGATCCGGCTGCCCTCTCCCGTGTCCTTTGGGAATGCAGCGGCCTCTGCCCTGTGCAGCCCTGCATCAGCGAGGGCAGCCCTGCTGCATCCAGCTCGGAGCTTTTAGAGGGTTCATAACTTGCCATCCTGTTGTAAATCTTCTAACAAATATATATATATATATTTATAAGAAGTTATTGGCATTGGCCACTTGGAAAATGCTGACCCGTTAAGTCTAATAGGGAAGTTAGGGCATGTTAAATATCAATTGATTATAAAACCCATATTAATTGACGTTTAGCAGCTCCACTAATGGAGAGGAGCTCATTACATCGCAGTTAACCCTCAATGCATATATATTAAATAATCAATTAGTATTTATTTAACATACAATAACCTCCCTGTTAGGGTGAAATTAAAAGCCTCTTTATGGGGGCCTTGCAGAAGGCAGTGCACTGTGCTAACCTGACGCCAGGAATTTGCATGAATCCCTGTTGCCTCCAGGGCCCCCGGGGTATTTTTAACCTGGGAAGTGACGGGTTGCAGGGACAGTGCTTGTTGCTGCCTCCAAAGGGGCCTGCGGACACTTGGCCTCTACCGGGACAGCCTCAGGCCTTGAGGTGGAGTATGGAAGAAGTGAAGTTCATGTAAATATTTGTTTAAAGGTGCCCAAAATGCACTGAGTTCCTCTCGGTTCTTCTGCAGGCAGATCCCACTCCTGGGAAAGGCAAGGATGAAAGGAGAGACGAGGAAGAACAGGGAGACTGAAATTCTTTGAAAGGGGATGGCGAAGGTTGTGCTGCTTTTCCGGGAGCACAAAACAGGCAGCAGGACTTGTGGCAGATGGTAAAATACAATGAAAGGTGAGTCTGGTTTCTACCCAATAAACACATTTCTGGGCCTGGGAGAGGGCTGGGGAGGGCGGCTAGTGTGAAAAGTGTGCAAWTTGCTGCTGAAATGGTTAAATAGCAACCCAGAGCTCAGCCAGGTGTCCAGCGAGAGGGAAATGGGAGACAACGAAGGATCTCGAGAGGAGAGGAGAAGCATTTTTAAATTGGGGGGGGAAAARAAAGGAAAATGCGGATGGAGAGGGATGGGAGGACAGCAAGGCAATGGGTMAGGCAAGAAGTGCTGTGGCCGGGCCGTGGGCTCAGGGCGAGCTGCTCATAGCTCTGAAACGCAACGAAATTGCTCCAGATGAATGGCCTGAGCCCCTCCGGTGGTGTGCTCTGCGCTGTCATTTACATTGGCATGGCATATTAAATATTGGCAAATGGATTTACTCCCACCTCTCCCTGGCATAAAAGGGTGGCAAGGGAGAGGAAAGCAGAGACTTGCTCTGCTTTCCTTGAAACCTATGTGAGATTTATACTTGGCTCTAATAGGCCCAGAACCTATTTGAGGTTGAATTATAACGCTCTTGCTCTATGTAATAGTCTGTTTTTCTGGTGGGGAAAAGCTGGAAAATCAAGCAGTTTCTCCAGAAGTCAATTTTGGTCCTCGGAATGGAACAGGCTTGAGAAATTGTCATTGATCCACTTCTGAACTTGGAGCAAATTTCCATAAAAATAATCAGATGCTCCCAGGCGCCGGAGTTGGTACCGTGGTGTGATTCCCTGGACGGGCTGGGGCTGGGGCTGGAGCGGGCGCCCCACGCACCCCGCTGTGGTTTTGGCTTCCRACTCCTCATCAGGCCAATGCAGAGGGAGGGAACGGGACGTGGTGCCTTGGTGGCATCTTGCTGGGTAARTGAAAGCTCGTGGAAGCAGCAGCCCCGTTAGCCTCGAAAGGAGCTCGGTTGGTTTAGGGCGCTGAGAAAGTGTCTGGGGACACCCAGGGAATGTGGCTTGATCTTGAACTCCCCAGGAATTCCCTTCATCCCATCCGCCTCCCTGCACACGGAGCAGGAGGAGAGCCCTGGAGTAACTCGGACGTGGCAGAAATGAGCAAATAACCGTGGATTTGAGACATCCGCAGGCAGCGTTTACTGAAGGGATAAGCAAAATAAAACTGGAGGTGAATGGTAATGCTGTCTGAGGGGTGATAACGAACCTGACAGAAAAGTTGCTGTAAGCATTTTTGGATGCCATGGAAGACAGGCATATTCATTGAGAATATTTAATTGTGTCTCAGGTCAGCTCTGCTCGGGGGTGCCGGGCAGGCACGTGCCCCTGCTTGCCACCCGAAACCCAACAAGGACTCCGTGTGTGCTGCTCGCTAGAGCAGCCTGCTGTGGCCTCTTCCCTCCAAGGACAGCAGCAGTCGCTTGAGCAAGTGATGGCCACCTGTATTCAAAGGCATAAGATGCATTTTTAACACCTGCAATAAATTACTTCCTTTTTTCCTTACAGTTTCTGGAAACTTTCCCAGTCCCTGGCATATTCATCAGGATTGCTGTATTTCYTCTGCGGAAAAGTGAAGTACCTCTTTTATTTCTCTGATTATTTATTAGCATACAAGAGCAGGAGGGGCTGTGCCAGGGAGGGGAGCCCCGTTGTGAGAGGCACTGGGTAAACACACCGGAGTGACGGTGACAGTCCTCATCACAGAGCGTTAGCAATTCAAACAGCTGTGTCAGGCGGAGAGTTTGAGGGAAAGGCTGTAACACCAGCAGCGGGAGGAATGTGACAGTTTGCAAACACRGGGTTGCAGGATTTTCTTCATAGCTGTGGTCATTCTTGAAGGAAAGGCGCATAGGCTTGTCCAGGATAAAATCCRCATGCGAGCTCGGTCTGATTCTCACGTAGGAAAAGATAACCAAAGGGCTTCTCAAAAATTTGCAGAAATTATCCAAAGCCTGTTTTGCATAAGAGCACGGAGGATATTTCATTGAGCCCTAGGGACGTGGAGTCCTGTGCTAATCTATTAATAATAAGCAGAAGGAAGTAATAAAACAGAAGCAGTGGAGTGAGGAAAAAATACTAATGCTTTTTCTGAGCTAAAAATTTCGGGGTAACCAGAATTGGTTTCCCAAAACAACCACTTTAATCCTTCCACCGTGCAAGAGCAGCATTGAACCTAAGAGATTTTTGGCCTAATTTCCTAGAATTCTTATTATCCTRAAACTTGGCCTTGGAGAAATGATAACATGGAAGGAATTTCCCTGGGAAAGAAAAGAGCAAAGGATGCTGCAGAATTATTTTAGTTCAGCTGGCTGCAATGCTAAGAATGAATTCTGGGGCAGGACAATAAAAGGAGTCAGACAGGAATATTAATTCTGCTCCCAGTCATCGGAGGGGCTCAGCCACTGAAGCCAGAAGTCAATGCCCAGCCTCTCTCTGGTTTCCGTGGGCTTTGGGGAGGCCTTGCTGAGGTTAGACTAGATTTGCCCGTGTCTCTCCAACATTATTAGCGGAAATAATTTCTTGCATGGAGCTACGGTTCGCTCTGGGCTGCGGATTGCTCCGTCGTCCTCCGTGTCCGCCCTGTGCTGCGGGCTGTGYGCTTGGCAAGCACCTGACCTGAGGTGTTACTGATTCATTTGCCCAATTAACCGGGCACAAAACGCCCATCCCGAGCTAATCACCAAGGCCAGGCTCCTCCTGGCGAAACTGGTCTCTGAGGACTCACCTCTGCCATGGTGTCTTCAAGGAACTAACCCGTTAATTATGGGCGAGGAGTGCTTGGATTTATATGACACATGGCTTGAAAGCGAGAGAGATCCCCGGGCTGAGACCCCATGTTCCAGCCCCACTGCAGCGCTGTGCCCCTCGACTCTGTCCTGCCTCTCCGGATCCGGGCGGATGCAGGAGACCTGCCTGCATTCCCGTGCCGGGGACTTCTTAGACCTCTGAAAATCCCCGCTGAAGGACACAGTGCCCCAGGATACCGCTGCACAGCTGCAAAGAATAATGAATCTGTATGTGCAACACGCTATGCGGTCCGCAGCAGTAGGGCAGGGTAAAAGGGTTATTGCAGCACCAGGATCTCCTACAGCCCTCGCTCCCGTGTCCGTGGTGGGACGAGAGCATCCTGCCGGGGCCAGCCCACCCCTCTGAAGCCTCTGAGCATCTTGCAGGTCTTTGCCATCAACTGCGGKGCCCGAGGAGGATGTTGCTCCTCTCCTAAAGGACAGGATAAAATCGCCCCGTGCGTGTCCTCTGTCTAGCAGCTCTCAGCAGGGAAAACAGCCATGCCTTTCCCCACTGTTTTATTTACCGACGTGCTGCTGTTTTCCAGGAGCAGGGTGTTTCTGTGTGCGTGTCTGCGTGGGGTGGCTGCGTGTTTAGGAGGTTAGGGAAAAAAAAAAAAAATCTCGCTGTCAGCAAGTGATGTTCCAAACGCGCTCTGACAAGGCTGGTTGTATATTTACAGTTGGCGAGAGCGAAGGCTTCATCAATCTTGGCGCTTTGAAGGGGACAGGCCCGCTCCCAGGAGCACCTGCTCCGCCAGAACAGCTGAACTGTGACTTTCCAGGGAGCGCGCTGTAAATTCTCGCCGTCCCCCCCGCGGCCCACGCACGCTTGAGCTCCTTAACCTTCCCAGGCTGGCAGGAGGCCCGGCAATCAGTTTAGTGCAAAGACCGGGGTTCTTTTTAATTAACCTTTTGTTTCCCACTGCAGGTGTTTCAAAGTTTCTTAATGTTAAAAAGGAAGAGGGGGGGAGAAAAATGTTTGCGGAGGTGTGCCTGCTCTCTTCCACTTTTCCTATGCTTGGTGATCAAATGGAACCAGTTTTCCTCATTTCCTCTCTGCCTTTGCCGCCTGTCTGGATAACAACATCGGCTGGGAATCTGCAGCACCGATTCCCTGTAGGTGTCTGCGGAAAGGATTCCCAGGAGTGCATTTATTCATGCACTGCAAGGTCACATTTCCTTCCTTCTCCAGGCACCTACTTTTCCACCCTGCCCCTCTTTCTGCAGGCTACTTTATTCAGACACTTGGCGCTCTCTGTGTGTTGATATTCCGTATAATTAGTTTGGCCTCTCGCACCCAGGCCACCCAGCCAGGGAAATTTTGGTTACAGCCTCGCAAAGTATTTGTGCTTTGGCAGCTCCCATTCAATGGGAGGAAAAAGAGCCTTGATTGCAGCTCCAAGGAGGCCGTCGGAGAGGTCGCAGCATTTATGTCTTTAACTGCATGGTGGACAGCAAGGGCTGTGAGGAGGCAGAATTTAAAAAGTGCAATAGGGAAGCATTAGGAGAGGATGGAGGTGAATCACACTGGGCACACGCAGCGTTATCCTTGCGCTTTGTTTATTTCCAGTCCTATTAATAAGGCTAATGCAGCTAGTTATGCTGCTTGCTAGCTTTGGTTGAGTGTTGGTCTTCTGGTTAAAGGCTCATGGTGTGAAAACTCAACTTGTTAAAATTACAGAATGCTTCACTTGAGGAGAAGAAGATTCATTCCCTTTAGGAAAGGGATATATTGTTCTGTTTGATCAATAAAATCAGTAGTAGAAGAGGGAACCACCGTATCTCTAAGAAAATTCATATGCAGAGATTTATCACAAGGGGAAAAAAAAAAAGATTTAAGCCCCACTTAAAACAATAAAGTATATCTTTGAGGGAAAGTTTCAAAAATTTCTATGTAAGAGGAATAATGGTTTCTATAATTTAATAGGTGCTAAATTTGGTGAGGAGTGCCAGCAAATCCATTTCACATAATGATATTTTATCTCCCTTGAAACGGCCATTTCCATGAATGCCTTTTTATTGGTTCCCTTGTCCCATGAAGTGGCCACAGCGGTGCTGCCAGTCCACAAAAGCTGAGCACCTAGATGTAGGGATAACCAGGGAAACCTATCAATGTCAGGAGCCAAAAAAACGACCAAGAAATGCATGACAGTTAAATGCGCTCCCTTTAAATAAAATTTCTACTGTGACCCTAAGGGCTATTGCTCTCTAGCTCTTACTTTTGCTGGCGTTAAGGTGGACACAAGTGTTATAAACTAGAGACAGGATCTGGGAGGAATTTCAGGGGAGGAGGACATTGAGGCAGCTGGTCTGTCAGCTGCTGAGGTGGAAAAATATAATGAAAAGGTTGAAATCCAGAAAAAGATGGCTTACAAAGAAGTATAAGAACTAAAACGTGGTCATGGCTTCATTACTGGTTGGTATTCTTGTGGACTAGAGGCAGTGATCACAATCTATGCAAATCTGTCTCATAAATTAAACTGAGGTTCAGGAAAGGAAATGGGGAAATTTCTCCTCGTTAAGCAAAAAGTTGCAAGATCCGTTACAGTAAAATAGAAGGAAGTGGAAAGTATACAAGGGTAGAGTTATTAGGCTGAGAGAGATTTCCTGATAGATAATGCGTTTAAAAACAAACAAAAAAGTGTGAAAGATTTGACAGAAAAGGAAGGGACCAAATACTACAGGATCTGAGGCTGCCTGAGCTGATGAGGCAGGTGGACAGCATTAGTTTAACCCGAGCAGTCATCAAAATACACTCTGTACTTTTGTAGCGTGTTTCAGTGGAGGATTTCTGCTGTTTTTGGTTAATGGGAACCTCCAGCTTCCCTGAGGTCAGGAAGCCCAAGCCAGGGCAGAAGCAGGAGTAACAGCAGCTGGATGTATTGCCGGCTGCAGGCAGATGCGGTCAATCAGGTTTCTCTAGTTAATTGGGACGAGGCGTTTCTTCAAGAACTTCAGAAATAGTGCTTGGAGGGAAAACAGTGTTTTTTTTTGGATGGCGCCATGCCTATTTCTGAGGTTTTTAAACAGCTTTAAACAGTTTATCRTGCTGCCTCAAACTGTCAGGTAATGGGCACTAACGGAAGGTRAGACTTTGGCCTAACAAACGTCCTGTTTCTTTGTTTTAGGAGAATTGCCTGTTCCCATGCAGAAGGCTAAAATGGGATCCTAGCGCCGTCTTTACAAACCAGCCTTGACGAGCTTGCTGCCTCGCCATTCACCGCTGTGGAGCTGCAGGAAAGACCCCATCGTGTCCTACAGCTGGCCCATTCCTAGAGGGTATCCTGTAATCCCGGATCCGTGGAGCTTTGGAGGATGCATGCCCTGCAGCCACGCTGGTGTGACGGGAGCAGGCCGATGGCCCCCGGGCTGCTACAGAGCCATCTTAGGGCACCCTGTCCTGGGGAAAGGATTCCCCCCAAATCCAGGAGTGCTCAATCCATGCCTGGGGTGGAAGGAAAGGAGAAACGAAGAGAGAAGCTGCGGAACTACCCAATTTGGTTAACCTTTCTGTGCCTCSATCCAGGCAGGCTGCCCTTGCCTCAGGCCCACAAAATGGCCCCTCTCCCTCAGCAGCAGTGCCGTCTGTCYGGGCTCGCCTGGGCCCATGGCAGGCGGCCCGGCGGGAGCCGCACACCTCGGRCAGGACAGGGGGAACCCGCCACATCCATCCGTGCCACCTGGGGGCTGCGAGGAGCTGCGCGGGGCTGTGAGGAGCTGCATGGGGCAGGCGGCCATGAGCGCGGCCCCCSTTGCTGCATGGCTGCCGCTGCGCGAGGCCTCCCGTGGCGCAGCCGCTGCCCGCCGCTAGAGGCTGCTGCACACCTCATTAAATAAACACACAAACAGCAATTAACGCGGGGTGCCCCTGCAAGCGCTTGTGCCAGCAGTGAGGCAGGGGGAGGCCGCTGGGCCGCCATGTCCCGCTTCGCCCTGTGCGGGGGCAACGTCCAGACCAACATGTCRTCTCTGCTCTTCCCTAACGCCCGGCGGCCTCTGTGGAGCGCTGGAGGCCTCCTGGCCTTCCCGCGCACATCCTGGGTGAACAGTGAGGGGTTTTTTTGAGTCAAGTTCCTTTGTCTTGGGGAGCTGCACTGTTCACCCTCAATCAGGTGGCACCCCAGAAATCCCTTCCCTGTTTGTTTTTAAATAAGTAGAAGATCYACCTGTGTAAATAGCAGTCCTGGTTCTGTCAGGAAATGTTGCATATTCTTGCAACTCACACCATGAGAATCAATATTAGCGTGGGCTCTGCTGCTGCTCTCCCCAAACCACATAGCGCTGGGAGGGCTGCGCGGCGAGGGAGCRTTTTGCGGGCTCCACACCCATGGTAAGGAAACGCTGGCGTCTTCAGCAGCCTCCTCCCTCCTTTCCSCAAGCTCGGGCTTTATTTCTTTCCCCTCCTCCCTCTTTCGACACCAACTCGATCTTATTAGTCTGCAAAATTACAGCCTTGCTGTAAATCTGGCATTCTGGGCTGAAAGGAACCGGCAGCAGCGACGCTTGGATTTTGTGTTTCCCATCCGTGATGCTGCTCCAGGTCTTTCCTTACGCGCTCTGGAAGCGCAAAGCCGGGTGACGATACAGTTGTACCTGAGCCCAGGGCTGAGGTGGCAGCTGGCCCTGGCTCCTGCCTGTGTCCTGAGGGTCCCTTGGTCCCCCCCAGAAAAACTCACGTAAAAGCTGGGTCTTGCTTCTGCCTCTGATGAGCACTAAGTTCTCGCACTAAATGTGGTCCTGGGCCCCACACGAGGGCAGAGGACACAGATGGGCCTGGGAGGCTCCGAATTCCTTGCACGTTTTCACCACTTCTCCAAGATTGCATTTCTTTGTGCATAGCTAGGAGGGAAGTGGTGTCACAGATGCATTAAGGAAATTTCCCATTTGATTTTGAGAGCGAGGAAGAAGGGAGAGCTAATACATCAAATATGAGAGGAGAAAACATAGTGTCCCAATTAGGGGCTCTATAGGGGGACCAGTTTCTGGGACTATGGAGGGAAGAGGATTTCCTGGGACACGAGAGCCCTTCTGCCTGTTGCTGGCAGCGCCAGCGTCAGGCTGCGTCGTCCTCCTGCCTTTTAGTCATTTATGGACCTGGTATTTTAAGGCACCAAGGGGAACGATGATGTTCTTTAGACACGTGGGATTATAAAATGGTGAAGTGTTTGTTTGCATGGCCTGGGTTGGTAATGTCTCTTTTAGGGAGCTTGTTGTTTTATCACCTGCTTTTTGATGGGGGAAAGAAAAAAGACCAGAATTATTATTATTAATTTTGTTGCAATTAGATATGTTGGTTTGGTTTTTTATGAAGCTAGGTATGCGGGTGAATACGCAGATATGCCTGAGCGGCTGCAAATACAAGAGGCAATACGGGATTTGCTTGCCAAAGCTGAGTTTCTTCCARTCTTCCCTGAGTCATTTTCGTCAATGGTGCATGGAAAACTTGCATGGGATGAGGAGCCTCGTGGCTCCAGAGGGATCCCCAGGCAAGGCTGGTCCCTGCAGGTTGTCCTCCTACCCCTGCAAAGAGGTAGGTGCTCCTGCTCAGCAGAGCCTTTGGGAGCAGAAATCTCCCAGGCTCGGCTCTTTGGTAACAGATATAAGTCCCTGCATATTTCCAAATCTGTTTATGCATCAGGTTTTGCATAAAAGTATACAGGCACGTTCAGAAAAATAATACTCTGCTGGCTTATGTAAACACTGAGTGTTTCCTAGCCAGGTGTTTGGGCAACGTGCTGTTTTGCTCTAACGGGTGTCCTTTTCCCGTTATCTGTGTTCTTAGAGAGAGCAGGTTAAATTCTGCCTCTAGGCAGGCAGTTTTTCTATGAGAACTGAAATCTTAGCTGATGAGGTGTTGCAGCTGTGCAGCCGGGGGCAGAATTAGGCCCCCGGTCAGCAGCAGCCGTGTCGGCATCACTCCCTCCTCCTCCTYCTCCTCGTCCTCCTCTGCAGGCTGTTGCTGCATGGGGAAATATCCCCCTCATCTCCCATTCCTCCCTCTCCTGCAATGACCTCCTGCAGCATTTGCTGTGTTTGTAGCTTTCTATGGGACTTGCAGCTCTGCAGCTTCATTGCCACTCTGTAATCACCATTAATACTCCTCGTTTTATATTTTTAAAAATGTGCATGCTCTCCTCTTCCAAACACTGTAAAATACCATTAGGTTGTCCTGGGATGATCATATTTTGTTTACAAGTGCCTTGCTATTGTAAGCCTGKGTCTTTCTATGGTACAGTTACCAGAAAATGGATTAAAAATCGAATGAACGTATTGCTTTGTTTGTTTTTAATGAAAGCTATCTTCTAATTAGCTCCCTACTTGATCAAAGATTGCTTCCTTGTTAATGGTGTTTTTGCCCGGTTTATGATGCTCTCCCTGACGTGGTAACTTCAAAGATAACRAGTCAAGTGTTTGTTTATGTTGTGACCCCTGGATATTCCACAATAAACTCTGCTTACATCTTGTTCCTAGGGCCAGGGCAGTGCTTGGAAATACACCCGTAAACTGAATTAAACCCACAGCTGTAGACGTGTACTTATCTGAGGTGAGTGAGATCCCTCCTTAGGAGAATTCTGGTTCCCTGTTCCAGCTGGCATGCAGCCTTTGGGTTGCATATCCACCACTCTACGTCTTCCTCGTGGCCTGGGGATCTTTCCAAGGRCCTCAGGTATGTGTCCAGAGGGAGAGGGCGTCAGTAGGTGCTGCTCGAGGGCCTGGGCTCGCTCTGGTCTCCCCTCATCACTGCCTTCCCGTAGCAATGCTGCTGCGGAGCTTTGATGAATCGTGCGAGGCTGCAGAAAGTCATGACTTCAGCAGTTGTATTTGTAGCGTATTTTCGGTAACCACCTTCCCGTTCACTTCTCTGAGAATATCACAGTGAAGTTCTCCACGAGGGTGAGGATTTTTATTGAAATCAGTCACTTCTGGCTGCTTATCAGGGGTGATGCTCTGATCTTCCCATAAAATGTGTGGATAGGAGCTCCAGTGCCTGTAGATGACCTGAAATATGTAAGCGTTTTATCACATGTATTGCATTTTATGCTGCTTTCCTCTATTAAAGTAAAATGTTTTCAAGCAACTGTCTGAATTTTCAGTACTGTAAGTTACTATTTTGGCATTCAGGTGAAAAAAAAAGAAGTACAAATCTGATGAAGATGATGTTCCTGCTGTCTGCAACACCGAGTGACCCATCACAGCCTGATATTCTGCTGCATTTGTGTAGCAGTTGTGGCAGATTCAACTAGTATGATTAGCAATGTTAAAATTGATTATTGCCCATGAAAATGATAATTGAAAGATCAGTTATTGATTAACACAAGACCAAAATTCCATCTGCATTGGCTTGATTGTAACTTCCATGGGAAAAAAAATCCCTTTTGGTGACTCGTGGCATTTTAGCTGAGAGGTTTGTCCCTTCATTTGGGGCATTGTTCCGGAGTGGATCCTCATCCATCTTCTTTCATGAGTTGGAGAAATTCATTTGGAGAGTAAATGTGAAATCCGTTCTGGCCTCGTTACTCCCGACACCTCTTCCTTCATTTGTCCTTTGTGCTGTTGCTAACTTGCTGTATCTGCATCCCTAGAGCTTGCTAATTCCAGCTATCAACAGATCAATTCATCCAAGAATTCCTACTACTTGGAGGGAAAGTATTTCAAATTGTGGATCTTTGAACGGACAGAGGCACTGCTATACTGCCACGATCTCAGCCAGCTAAATGTAAAAAATATTTAAAAAGACAAAAATATTAGCATTTTCCTATGTTTACTGTTAATGTAAACACATGAATACACAGTAAATGTGATACACAATTTTATAATTAGCATTAGCGTTATTATTATGCTTATGCTAAGAAACCCCAGCTGTAGTCTCAGTCCTACTTTGCTAGGGGCTATGCAAAAGAAATAGTTAAGGAAGTCTTGGCTGTGAGGAACACGATTCATTGCTTGCATCCGAGTGGAGAGAAAGAGCCAAGCTGTAATTCCGAGCGCAGACGCTCCCAGATAATTCACTGGCAGCAGTGATGTTGCTSCAAACTGACACCATCATAGCAGAGGTGAATGTGGCCCCAAGTGCCTCCCGAGCACATTTCCTTAGCAAATTACTCTTTTGTTTTGCCCCCTTCCTTCCGTGGAGCGTCTGCCGCCGCGTCCTGCAGCAGTAGAATAAAATCTGCAGRGATTTTGCAGATACCGTGTCTAGCTCTGCAGCCATCTCTCTCAGGAGAGAGCGGCGATGATGCCGTTCTGGCCTGTATTTTATACTGTTCTGTGCGCATAACAGGATCTGATGATTGAAATCTACTACCTGGGAGCTGAAATGAATGGTTTGCTTCCTCGTGAAAGGCTCCTGCTCTGCGTTTCCTTCTCCTTGCACGCACGCACGCAGGCGTGCGCRCGC